TGTTAATTTAAGATAATAAATTAGTTTATTGTAAAATACCTAAATTGCCTTTTATCAAGTGATTAGTCTACATTTAGTCATACATTCACACAATAATTATGGTTTATATATAAACCTATCTATCTCTCTCTTTATATATATATATATATATATATATATATATATATATATATATATATATATATATATATAACGTATTTTGAGTTGCCAAAACATGATGATAAAGGCATCGGATAATATTTTTTTTTGAATGGCAATCACAAAAATATATTAGCACTAAAACAAAAAGGACTAAAGCGAGGAGCTCAAGTCACATACAAGAAAATATCGAAGTAGGAGACATACACCAAACATACCAATGAAGGTTACAAAACTTAGACCTATATTTTAGTGGTTTATAATTTTTAAATTTTATGTAGTATTTAGTGGGTCGATGAGATGGTTATGTTTTCACTTTCTTTTCAAGTGTTAGTTGATCTGTCCGGTGAATGCGTGTTTTAGGGTTTAATTGTGTTATTCCATTGACTTTTTGTAATTTAACTATTTGTTTTCTAAAAAATTGGATTTTGATTTTTTAACTTTTATAAATGTGTAAACATATATATTATAAACAATAATAATATGAATTCAAACAAACAAGTGAATGAAAATCATATCCTTTTGTTCGTCGTTACTCAAACTTTTTTTTTTAAACTATAATGCGACTCTTGGATGTACAACTAATCAAATAAAATTTATATCATATTGTTCTTCGTTAGTCAATCTTTCTTTGAGTCCAAAGCAACTCGTGGATGTTAAAACATTGACGAATTATAATATTTAAAACATGGACTAAGATGCATGGTTTAGGATTTGCGAGAACTGAAATATTAAGTCCTTATAAATTGCATGTTTTCTTTTTAAGTTACTCTTCATATTAAACACATAGAACAATAGTAAGAGAGGAAGGCAAAGCACCACAAGCCAGTATCGACCATGGAACCACATACTCATATGTCGTATTGAAACAAAATTGAATCGAAATATTAACGGACTATACCAACGATTGAAAGAATTCCAAAAATCATATTGCAATAATCAAACAAACACCTAATGAAATAATCTACAATCCCTTAAATAGATGAAAATAAATGAATGCATGATTTATTGGCGAAGAGAAATTGTGATGGTTACATGTACATGATCGGACGTTACGATGTGAACAAGCACACTATTAGTACTTGGAATAAATAGACAACGAGTGAGCTCCTTTTGCTTCGATCTTGCATAGGCATCGCCAAATTTTTCTTTGGCCTGAGAACGTGCCAACCCATTCACATGGAAGATGCTGCTTTGTGTTTTGATAAAAGGTTACGTGGGTCGATTGAAGACATTGTGGTTTGCGGGTGTCCGTTCTTTGGGGACCTTCAATGGCAACTGGCTTCGTTACCAATTAGGTTTGGGGGTTTGGGGTTGTACTCAGCAGTAGAGTCTTCCTCCTATGCTTTTGTGGCCTCACGAGCTCAATCGTGGGTGTTACAAGACCACATCTTACAAAATAGCGGCATATGTGGTATGGATTCAGATTATGTTTGTGCTTTGGCCTGTCTTCGTGATACGATTCTGGGCTTTGACTTCAGCGGTTTCACTAATAAGGACATCGCCCCTCCAAAAGCCCAACATTCATTGACGAGTGCCCTTTTTAGTAAAATTGTCCAAGACATGGAAGTTCACTTCGACATGAAGATTAGGCAGAAAGCAATTTTTTGAGTGTCTAAGGGCACCACATGCTCAAGATTTTATTATGACTATTCCTATTGACGGTCTTGGCCATCATATGTCGCTAGTGGAGTATCGTGTCATCCTCAAGTATCGCCTTATGATCCCTTTATTTCCGGCTGACGAGACTTGCCCTGTTTGTCGCAAGACATGCTTGGACTCCTTTGGGGAGCATGCAGTTCATTGTAAAGAGCTCTCGGGTTTCAAATACCGACACGATCTGGTTCGGGATGTTCTTTTCGACATATTTAGGCGCGCTGGGGGTTTCTGCCAAGAGAGAGGCACATGTGAACTTTTTGGCTAACCCATTGGAAGGAAGACCAACACTTAGACCAACTGATGTTTTAGTATTTGGATGGGCTGGAGGAAAACATGCATGCGTGGATCTAACAGGGGTTTCCCCTCTTGTGGGCTTGGGAAGTGGAGTTTTCACTGTGGGACAAGCTGTTTTAAAAGCTGCATCAAGCAAAGTGGCAAAACATGAGAAAGCGTGCATGGAAAATCAACACACGTTTATACCCTTTGCATTTGATACTTTCGGTTTCCTTGCGCCAGAAGCTGTGGAGCTACTCAATAGAGTCCAACGGGTCATGCATAGTAATGTTATGACTCCAAGATCTATAGATGTTGTTTTTAAAAGAATTAGTTTTGCCATCCAAAAAGGGGTTGTGACACAGCTTGTTGCTCGTTTACCCGCTACGTCTATGTAAATCTTTCTTATAATTCATAAATATAATGGAACGACTTAGTGATTTTTTATTTTGTAAGCACAAGTATATATATCTTAAGAGAAATCAAATATCTTCCTACTTTTTTTTTCTATCATCTTCCTACACACTTAAGATTATGACACTTGTTATATTTAATAAATAAAATTTTATTACTCTTGTCATTATTTAAAAATGGTAAGAGCATGAGTAGGAAACTAGTTAATTTCTCATATCTTAAATATTCATAAGGAAATATGAAGTGTGTCGCGAATATTTTTCGGTGATGCTTGGTGTCTAGAAAAAGCAAAACCGCCAGTTTGTGGTTCCAAATACACAATAATATTAATAATTTGTTTGGGGCTTATAACAACACACGTATATTTTAAAAAATAAGATTTTATCAAAATATGCTTAAAGTGGGACAATATAAGGGGTGATAATTATCGACGATACAAATCCGAACTCGACAAGAAGATAAATAGGCTTGAGTTAAATTTTTCTGATCTGCAATCTGCCAACCCATTTATTATAAAAGTCATGTTCGGGTTTACAAATAATTATGTTGGTCGACTTATTAACCTGTTCATTTTATTATATTAAAAAAAATTAAAACTATATATTTATGTGATATTTAGAATTCTTTATGTGAACTACGAACCCATATAAATTATACGGGTTATGCGGGTAGTGTCCGGATTTAAATTATCAATGTTAGTATTCAATACAATGATACAAATATGTCATTTAAAAAATTAACAACTAAGATCATTTCACTAAATAACTTTTTTTAGAACGCATAGTAAGATAGGACAATACAAACTTACAAGTTACAACCAATATGTCACTTAAAAAAATAACAACTAAGATCATTTTTAGTAATTAACAAATAAGATATTTTTAGTAAATAACTTTTTTTAGAACACACTTTTAGTAAGGTGCTGTTTGTTTTTTTGAAGCGAAAATTCATGAAGTCTGCAGACAACCTCTGCAATCCTCTGTAGCAGAAGAGGTGGAACAAACGGCTGCAACCCATAATAGGAAGCATGTTTGTTTTTTAACATCTGCAAGACTGCTGCAGTAAACTGAAATTTAAATAAACTAATTTTATAAACTGAAAATAGTTCTCAAAACCGAAATTTTAATAATTCTAGTCTTAAAATATTGAAAGAGTACTAAAAAGAATATGTAAAAAAACAAAATTATAAAACCTTTTAAAAAAAAACTTACAAAAATATAAAAGAAGCTAACAACTTTATTCTAGAAAAAAACTAATTTTAAAAAACATAAAAAAGAAAATAATAAAAAAAATTAAGAAATTATTGCAAACGATGTCTACAAAGTTCGTAAAAAAATTACACACGTTAAAAAAGATGAAACTGAAGCTGAAAATATTATAAACAGAAACGGTAAAAAAATTAAAAAAAGTCAATGTTTTATTTTTTAAAAATCAAGTTAAAAAAATTTATAGAAACTATAATAAGAAATTGTATTAAATCCGTAAATAAAAGTTAAGAAAAATAAGTTATACCAAAATTTAAAAAAAACACTTCAAAAAAATGAAAGCTGAAGAGGTTTGAAGAAGCAAGTCAAGTGCTGCGCCACGCAGCACAAGCGCAGAGGTTTTGCAGTCTGAAGTTTTTAAAAAAATAAACAACTGCGAGAGAGAAAGTGCTGCGTGTGTGCTACACCGCCCAACATAAGAAAGTATAAGAAAGTGGTTTGAAATTTTTAAAAAAAAAAAAACCAAACAGCACCGTAGATAGGACACTACAAACTTACAAGTTACATCCCCTTAGGGCCTAGGCCAAGCCCTACAATGTATTAAATATCATTTTAGGGTTGGGACCCAAAAGCTTGGCCCATTTCTAGTTTTGGTAAGTGGTAACTAGGAATTTCCGGTAAACCAGAGGATTGTCCGATCACACCAGGTTCCCAATCGAGTACATGTTACTTTTGTCATATCCAAAAGTCCAACACAATTAATTATATAATTCAAATATTTAAAATATATGATATTTATTTAAAATAAAGGGAAAATGAGTTGCAACAATAATAAAAAGTGAAAAAAAGGATGGATCCCCCCATTTTCAGCCGACTTGAATTTTTGCCAGACTTGGTTGGAGGGTGAGAAGGCAAAGACAGAGTGAGATTCGGAGAGAAAAAGAAAGAGAGAGAAAATTGGAGAAAGAAAGAAGTTGCATTGCATCAACAACAATCTGTTTTGTTTCCCCTTTTCGCCCTTTGATTCTTTCCTTCATTGATGGGCATTGAAATTTGATTCAAAATTTCAACTGGGTTTCTTTCGATTTCTCCATTTTTCCCTCCGATTTCAAAAGGGTTTATGTTTATTTCAGATTCTGAACCCTCGTTGACGAAAATTCAAAAGTATTATCGTCAATGTAAACCATCGATGGAGGTTTTTTAATAAACTTCGGTTTCTTGGGGTTGAACTTTCTTCAATCTTTGACCCCTCAAGATCAACTTCAACATGAAATAACGCTACATGTTATTTCCCAGAACCTGTTCAACGAAATGGCTGAAAGAAATACAGGTTCTTCTTCGTCTTCAATTGGGTTTCTATCAATGAAATCATTATTCGGTTTGTTGTCAATTGCATTAATGGTGTTCATGTTATCATGGTTCTTACTCTTAACCTCCGACGGCCGATCTCGACTCATCGATCACAATCTATTACCCCATTCAAGGCAACATTCCACCATCGACAATCCCAATCCCACCCCAAATTCTCCGACCCACAATGCACAATCAATCCATCATCAACAACCAGAAATTCTAAGAGTCTTCATGTACGATTTACCCCCAGAATTCCATTTCGAGATCCTGTACTGGAATCCAGAGGGTAAGAATATATGGCCGGATCTCCGTTCAAAAGTGCCGGAGTACCCCGGCGGATTAAACCTGCAACATAGCGTAGCGTACTGGCTCACTCTAGACCTTTTATCCTCAAATACTCAAACCGCCATTAGAGTTTATAACTCGAGTGAAGCTGACGTCATCTTCGTCCCCTTCTTCTCTTCTGTATGCTTCAATCGATTTTCTAGGTTAAACCCTCATCAAAAAACCAACAGGAACAAAGAACTACAACAGAAGTTAGTCAAATACCTAACGGGTCAACCCGAATGGAAAAGATCCGGCGGCATAGACCACATTATTGTCGCTCATCATCCTAACAGCTTACTCGATGCGAGATATCAGCTATGGCCCGCCATGTTTATCCTTTCAGATTTCGGAAGGTATCCGCCAACTATTGCAAACATCGATAAAGATCTAATCGCACCTTACAAACACATAATCAAAAGCTACACCAACGATTCATCAACTTTTGATACCCGACCCATTTTACTGTTCTTCCAAGGCGCCATTTACAGAAAAGACGGAGGTTTCATCCGTCAAGAAATCTTCTACCTTTTACAGAAAGAAAAAGACGTTCATTTCAAATTCGGAAGTGTTCAAAAGCAAGGGGTTCCTTCTGCTACAAAAGGAATGCGATCTTCAAAATTCTGTTTAAACATCGCAGGTGACACCCCGTCTTCTAACCGTTTGTTTGACGCCATTGTTAGCCACTGTGTTCCTGTGATTATTAGCGATGAAATTGAGTTACCATTTGAAGATGTTCTTGATTACTCGGAGTTTTGTGTTTTTGTGAAGACGTCTGATGCTATAAAAGAGGGGTTTTTGATCAATTTTATTAGAAGTATTGGGAGAGATGAGTGGACTCGAAAATGGAAGAAGCTTCAAGAAGTCAAACATTATTTTGACTATCGGTATCCTTCTGTGAAAGGTGATGCAGTGCAGATGATATGGAGAGGGGTTTTGAAGAAAGTTCCGGTTATAAAGAGGCGGTTACATGTTGCAAACCGGTTTTCAAGATTTGGAAAACCGGACCGGAAGTTTTTCCAGTTGCCTAGAAATTTAACAGTTTGAAAGAAGACGTTGGAGTTAGAAGATAGAATTGTTAGAATATAAGGAATACAAATAGAATTTGTAGATGGAAAAGTGTTTAGGAATTCATGAATCGTTCACAGTTTTGTAATTTGATATGATGATGTTTAGCTTATGGGGTTGTTAGTTTGCATGATAATAATCCTTTATTTAAAACAAAAACTCATAGAGCGTGTTTGATATGAAACGTTTGACAACTTTTAGTTCAAAAAGTTCAACTTATACAAAAACCTTCATTTGTCAATACATGCTTTTAGTTTTTAATTTAAACGAAACGATCCAAATCTAAAAGCTATTTTATGTAACGTTTAAAAAAAAACTCTTGAACTTTTTAATCAATTTCCATAATTACCCTTTTATTTATTATGTTTCACATATAGCTTTTAAATTGTTGCTCCCATTTTTGTAAATTTACACCTTTCAAAAGCTAAGTTTATTAAACACTCATATAATAAAGACAATAAACTAGTTTTGTAAAATACGCACTTAATCCAAAACTATTCAAGTTGATTTTAAGAGCTTTTAATTTCTTACTTTTATGTTTTACGCTATACATACGACTATTTTTATAGAACAATTTTATATAAATAACAACTACAACTTCTAACTAGCAGCTAATAAACATACCCAAGATGTACATCTCATATATAAGAGGTTATCATTAAGGGTGGTACCAATAACCTTATGACCAAAAAAGTTTTATTTATTTATTAATTTATTTAATTATTTATTTTTTGCAAAAATATCTTTAGAGTATAAGTTTGTTGTGGTTTTGGCACATAGTATTTAATATAAAAATGACTATTTTGTATTAGCAAAAACTTTTTCTTACCATTTTTATCATTTAATTAAAAATATGTTGCTATTCAATAACAAACGGCCACACATTATCCCATTCTACTACCACCCACCCCCCCCCCCCCCCCAATCCCTTGAAATACATCTTCTCTATTGTTACCTTGCCCTAACCATGTACAACCCCTACTCACCGAACTTACTGTTGAGTTTCTCACTTCTTCTTTTTTTGATGGATTTGAGAAAGACCACCACCTCATACCCCTTTGACTCCCCCACTTTCTATCACGGATGAACTTGAACCATTTATTCTGAAACCATTACCAACTACCCTCCCCTACAATACACACACAAAATCAACCCAACTTTTAGTCACCGCCAACACCAAACTCTTACATGCAACTTAAAGATAGAACCTACATATCCGAAACAGCTGAACAACAACCACTACCCTTATAAAACTTCTCTTCTCCCCCTCCATCATCACCCGTGGAACCTACAAATCCAAAACAAACCAATAAAAAAACTCTATTGATATAGTTATCGAGGAAAATAAATCAAATCCAAAAAAAATTCAAGATCCCCACTTATTGACAAAACTATAAACCTAAACCTTGACATGAAAGGGGAGGTCTCATGTGAAAGGTTTCTGGTCGAGAAATGGAGAGGTGGGAGGGGGGACTCTTTGATGAGGATGAGGATGATGACTTGATGGGCTTCAAAGAGAGTGGGTTTGAAGGATACACACAGTGGGGTTGTGTAACATAAATATCCCGATTCCCAGGTATGAGATTTATTATTCAAAAGACAAGTTTCCCTTGGAACTCGTCGAGTTGATGGCCTCAACTCGACGTGCTGATCGACTTTGGGCCGCGCATCTTTTTGGACCAACTCGACGAGTTGGAGAGGAGAACTCGACGGGTTGGCAGCTGATTATGAAACCCTAATTTTTAAGGGTGTTGCACCCTATTTAAAGGCCTTATACCCCTTTGTATGGCCTCCTTACCGGTCCCCTCTGTCCAGAAACCCTAGTTTCGTGCATCCTCTCCCATATTTGAGTGTGAGTGAGCTTGAAGAGTGAATTCTTGGTGTTATTTTTGAAGGAGCTTGAAGTTTGAGGTGGCTTGATTGAAAGGAAGGCTTTAGATTCAAAACATCCTCTTTTGTTGCAATCATTTTGAGGTATAAAGTAGGCACCTTGCTTCCTTACTTCTTAGATCTCTTCCTTGGTTAAATTATTGGGATTTTTGGATCATTTATGGATTGTTCATGGGGTTGAGCTTTTCATTGATTGTCACCTTAGATCTGACCATTTTGTGGCCTCTTTTGGCTTAAAGTTGCAAACTTTATTAGGTTCAAGGCCTCATCCATGCATTAATTTCTCTATTAAGCCTTGTATGAGTTCTAGAGCTTCTTTTGGCATGCATGAACGTAAAGTTGGCAACTTTACGTGGTATTCCAGCCCCATTGAACCATATTTGTAACTTGAGGCATTAGATTCGATAAAAAGGGTTGAGTGTGTTAAGACTGGGAAAAACTCGGCGAGTTGGATAGGGTTTTCTGTATCTTCTGAGAATTGTGGGAACTCGATGAGTCTGTGGGTACACTCGATGAGTTGGGTCAACATGGACTGTAGACCTTGACCTTTGACTTTGACTTTGACCATGGTTGACCAAGTTTGACTGTTGAGGGTATTTTGGGTAATTCGGGGTTTTGATAGAAATGGTCACATAGTGACTGTAGGCATTTGAGTTCGGAGTTGAGATTTGGAGTTGATCTTATTAGTTCAGCACTACTTGTGAGGTGAGTTTTCCTCACTGTACTAGCGGATCGAAGGCACCAATGCCAGCCCTTGGATTGATATCCTGATGTGCATGTTATGTTATAGTGATCTGATAGATCAGTATCATGGTAGTTAGGATGATGCTAAGCTTTGTGTTCTGTAAGATCTGTTTATTTGTTTGCTACCTGGTTAATATATGGTTATATGTATTATATGCACATGATTGGTTAGTGGTTGAGGCTTCACTACTTTGTGCGTAAGCCAACAGGCCGGGGCATTCCAACCCGATGGTTGAGGGCCTGGGGTATTCCATCCCGAGGATGATTGGACCCATAGTATGTTGATATTCCAACCCGATGGTTGAGTGGCCTGGGGTATTCCAACCCGATGGTTGATTGGACGCATAGTATGTTGGCATTCCAACCCGATGGTTGAGGGGCCTGGGTTGGAAAACCCGATGGTTGATTGGGCCCATAGTATGATGTTATTATATTTGTGCTATTTGTTATGTATTGGTATTTTGGGGGAACTCACTAAGCTTTGGGATTACAGTTTTGGATTATGTTTCAGGTACTTTAGAGGATCGCTGGAAGGCGAAGACGTGATCGTGCACCTCCTCATATTTTGTCTTACCATTTTGGGATTTCTCTGATGTGGAACTTATTTTGAAAACAATTTGTAAACAATGATGGTTTGTGGTTGTTTTAAAAGTTTAAAATTTTCAAGCATTTTTTGAATGTTACAGGTTATGGTGTGTGTGGGGCCTTTTCTTATTTAATAACATCATATAAGTTAAAATAAAGAAAAAACATCATAAATGGTCTCTGTGGTTTCCCCAGATCTGACGTTTAGTCCCTGTGGTTTAAAAACATCATAGATGGTCCATATGCTTTCAAAACTTTTGACGATTGGTCGTTATTGCTAACTCCGTTAAGTTTTGTCCGTTAACTGAAGGGCATTTTCATCATTTCATTACCACAAAGACCATTTATGAGGTTTTTCACTATTAAAAAAAAGAAAAAATAATTATTTAATATAAAAAAGGGCCCCACCTCTCTCTCTCTCTCTCTCTCTCTCTCTCTTTCTCAAAAGTCTGAAATCAGTTTCCCTTTGATCGTGTTCTTCAATATCAAAAGCAAGAAAACTACATCCAACCCTAAACACCTAAATCTTAAATCAAAGACGATGATGAGGAATTTTTTTGTTTTCAGGGTAAATTGAGTGATGATGAAGAGTTGTCGTATCTTGGAGGGATAATTTATGGAGGCTTGTGATGGAAAAAAGACGATTTCCTGCAACAACAACAAAAAAACCATTGATCCTACTTCATAAACAATATTACACTCAAATCCAACGAAAAATGGCGTTACTCATCTTTAGAATCGGACACAGGAAAAAAGACGAGATTCATCGGTCTTCAAGAACAGATAAATGATCGTGTTCTTTAACTAGAATTAGTCTCTAGTGTTTGATTCACATCACCGGAGACCCAAATCGGCTAACCGTTTAACCGCAAACATAGGCTATTCTCCGGCCGATGCATCCAAAATCGAGATCAAATTAGAACCGGAAGCCACATTTCTGACTTCATTAACTAACCTAGGTGACTGATTACCTATGAGTAGCCATAGGATAATCATCCCAAAAGAATAAACATTAGATTTAACTGTTAAATTTCCAGTTTGAAGAACAACCGAATTAGTAAATGAGAAAGTTCTACTCCTTTCTTCATATAGGCGAAAACTACGACATCAGAATGTTTCCTCATTAACCACTGAGGAAAATCTTAAATTGTAGAGCTTAAAGGAGAGTTTAGAATCAAGAAGGATGTTTTTGGGTGTTAAATTGTTGTGTAGGATCTCTTCGGGTCGAGAAGTGTGCAAGAATAAAAGAGTATTTGCAATTCCAGAAATTGTCGTGTAGGATCTCTCAGGGCCCGAAAGAGGAGAAGAACAAAGGAAGCGAAGAATCTTTAACAAACACACATCTCCATGAGAGAGAGATCTGATGGAGAAACGTTGAATAAGGCTCAATGAGAGAGAAACTGAAAGGTTTTTTGTGCATTTATTTAGTGTGGGCGTGGGTGTATACGAGAGAGAGAGAGAGAGAGAGAGAGACCCTTTGCATATTATTTCATTTTTTTATTTTTTTTTAAAAAAAAGTGAAAACATCATAAATGGTCCCTGTGGTAGTGAAATGATGAAAATGCCCTCCTGTTAACAGACAAAACTTAACGGGATTAACAATAATGACCAATCGTCAAAAGTTTTGAAAGCACAGAGACCATTTATGATGTTTTTAAACCACGAGGACTAAACTTCAGATCTGGGGAAACCACATGAATCATTTATGATGTTTTTTTTCTAAAATAAATAAAAATTAATCATACAAACTTATATAACTG